AACATCATAGTAAATTTCTTAACTTTCAAAATACTTATTAGAAAATAAAAAACCATTTATAGTATATGTGGCATAAATAATTTATGTCATGGTGTTTAAAAAGAAAATGCTAAAAGTCTTATAAAAAAACACATGGTAATGAAATCGATTAGATAACTTTATATATAAAATATCATGAAATGCCAACTTCGTCATGGCTTTCTTTTTATTTATATATTATGTAGTTATTACATTTGACGGCAGTTTGAGTTGTGTTTCTTTTCTCAAGTACATGTTCTAATTTTTTTATTTCAGAAGAGATATTTGAGTTATTGGATTCTGTTGACAGGTCTCCAAGTCTTCTTTTTTTGGTTGAATTGTTGATCCCAAATTTTTCATATGCTTCACCTTTGTTCAAGGAATTTAAAAGTAGCCAAATTAATATTAATCAGGAAAATCGTACCAAAACCAAAATCAAAGAATGCCAATAACAACTTTGTATGGTGCTAAAAGAAAATAAAAATATAAATATGGTGTAAAATATCCACATAAATGAATAAAAGCTAGGCCATATAACAAAGTCACAAATATGCTCGAGTGCCAAATGATCAATGCCAAACCAAATTCAATCAATGGATTAATTGATAAGGAAATAAAACTAACAGAATAATTATTAAGTTACTCCTATATACGAATCCAAGTCCAAGGATAAGTATCGTCAGTCTGTGGATTGATGATGAAATTATTTTGATAAACGATGAACTAAGGAACTTATAATAATAAACCATGTGCACAAGAGAAAGTCGAGAGTTTTCAGCCAGAAAGTATTTTTCATTAGTTAAGATCACAATTGTACTAATCCATTAATAACGGAATCAAATATATCTTGTACTGAATTATATTTGTTGTCTTGTTGAGTTTAAAGAAATTGATAAGATATAACAGTACCAGAAGAGCCAACAATTGTAAAACAGCAAATTGAAGATGTTATTCAGGAACTAAAGCAAAAATTAAAAAATTAAGGAAGCAAGGAACTGAAATTATTAAACAACAAATCATTATCCAAGATTTAAGAAAAGAAAAGGAATGTTGGCCGAGCTAAATAAAGCCGAAGCAAAAACAAATTGAATTGAACCAGGCCAAAATGAACAAAACAAACTGACAATTTTCGTAGGACAATCACATTATTAAAAGATTACCATCATGACAACCGGATATTTAGAATTTTAAAATGATGTTCGTTTTGTTACAGTATGCTATAATAGTAATTTATTTTTTACCCCTCATTCTTCCTCATCATCCGGTGGTGGCGGATCATCTTTGGTTGGATCAGGATCTTTGGTTGGGTCGGTGTCTTTAGTTAGGTCAATATCTTTGGTAATACTATGAACAAATTAATTGATATCTTAAAATCTTGAAGATTTGCTAAATTTTTGACAAAATATACATAATAATCGTACAAAAAATCATACCAGTTTCTGGAGATTATGTATATAAACTTTCATACCTCCGGATTTCCAGAATTTTGTCAATTGGAAATAAAGAAATTTGATTTTGAAAAAACAATTCAATGTGTAAATTTCTTTAATAATAATTGCTCTAAGCAGGACCCCGGAAACTACATAGATAGGTTACCCTAAATTTGGGTAAACTTAATATTGAGCGCGCGAATATCATTACCAAAAATGGCCGTAATTTGACCATATTAGTGTAAATGTTCTCGATTAGCCAATTAGATTTTGGGTAAATTTTTGGGATAACCTATCTATGTAGTCTCCGGGGTCCTCCTGCGACTGATATATCATTATAGTGATGTCACCAAAAAAATGATTTAGACTCGGAACCCTTTGTCTTATCATGATGATAAAAAAAGAGTTGAGAATAATCACTACGGTAAATACCCAACGTTACTCTACATATTGTATAATATAATTAATAAAATTATTAAAACCCCAGGTTCTCAAAAAAAATGTACTTTGAGAATATGCGTCGATTTTGTTTGAACCTCAAAATTCAGTATGGTATGATCATTAAGTTATGAATACTTTATCTAGCAATAATCCATTAGTTTTAAGGTAGTGCCATTGGTTTGACGGGCTAATGAATAGTAAAATAGTTTTTTTTGGCAGAGCAATAATTTTTTTCAGGGTTAATTATCACTTTACTGACCAGTTACACGCACACAATAAGATATAAATGTAATTTCATTAAGTCGGGTGCAACTATCAATTGTTTAAAATAAATAGATGACCGACCTATCGAGTATACAAGTGTGTAGTAGGGTTTGAAAGAAGGGCCCAAAAAACAAATCGGCTGATATGGTAATTATATTAACAGTAATTTCCCATAACTATCCTTGTCCAAAGTTGATGTATGATGTTAATATATTGGCTGGAATGTTTGCACTATATAAAAACAATCAATCAGCAAGTGTCGTAAATATCTGATTGATTGGCTAAATTAAAATTAATTTCGTCAAAAGATCCTTGGCGATGAATATGAATTTCGTCAACCATCCTTAAGATGAGTTACATCCTAACAAAAAGGTACTTAATGGTTGTTTTAAAAATGAGATGAAAGACAAAATCTGATCTTTTAAAAACTTATTCCCCTCAAATTAACTAACAAATAGAATTATTTCTTATAATTTATTTATTTGATTATTTAAAAAAAAATTAAAAATAAAGATTAATGAAATTTTAGTGTTTTTTTTCGTTTCATATTTTTTTAAATTTATTATTAATTATTATACTTTTTAAAAGTTATCGGTAACGAGTCATTATCATTATTATTATGATTATTATTACTACTATTTTTAATGCCGTTTTTACTTTTGATAATTATTGGGAATGGATATTCGTCCTCATCATCGTTTGAGCTAGGAAACCCGAAGGCGTCACCTATTTCATTTGATAATTTTATTGAATTGTTACCATCATCGTCATTATTATCATCAACACCATTAAGACCATTAACTCCACGGATTCTAGGAGATCCAGGTGCAGATAAAGGTCTTGATACTTTGAATTTATATTGTTCCAAATTATTAATTTCAGCATCGACAAACGAATCAGGGTATACTCTATGTAACGCCAATTTTCTCGCTCTGACATAATCCATACCCATCAACTTCCAATCCAACAAATCCGATAATCTTTCCGTTCGATTACGTTGGTTTATACGTTGACGCCTTGTTTTCTGAGAAAACTGTAACATGTAATTGGCGAGTTGTTGAATAGATTCTTCGACGGATTTCATTCTCCTGTCAACAATATAAATACCATAATCTGACGAATTTTCCAATATGTCATCCATAAAACATCCAAAACCAGATAAATTTGTTGTTATGGATGGTAGTCCCATAACAGTGCATTCTGCCGGAGTGTAACCCCATGGCTCATAATAACTTGGAAACACACCTAAATGACATCCGCGTACAAAATCTTCATAGTCTAATCCAATCAATGGACTACTTGAATTCAGGAATTCGGGATGAAATATGATTTTTACGCGATCGTCTTTATTATTAAACAGTTCTAGACGGCGTAATTGCATTAAGATTGGGTCTGCGCCATCATCAGCCATATTATGTGTTACTATAGGTGGAAGAGTGCTACGTCTGAGCGCTATAACACGACGTTTTAATAATACTTTGTCTTCAGTAGTTAATAATTCCGTAGGATCAATAACTGCATCGTTAATATCACCACTAACAATTTTTAAAAAATAATTAATTCGAAACTATAATAATAATTAATAGGAATATAATAATAAAAAGAAGAAGAAAAAAAATACTTTACCCAGCATATCTTGCAGCTTTCTCAAATATTCTTTGGCCAATTTTATCAGTAATATCATTTACAGTTTCTTGTAATTGTTTAATGACAGCCTGACCTTTTAAAGCTTCAACAGCAAAAGAAGTTGTTGCAGCTGGCATGATAACAAAAGCAACAACAGTCGTTGAAGAATTACATGCTTTTAGTTTTTGATTAAGACCTAGTAGTAAATAAAAAAAAAGAAGAAAAGATAAGTATGATGCTAATAATGATGATAATGAATGGAAAAAATAAAATAAATAAAATACTGACGTGCTAATGATTCAATAAACATGTCAACACCTTTATTTCTATATTCATAGCGCCCTGCAGTAAAGAAATATAAAGTATTGTCTAAATCAAAATCATAATGTCCATAAAAATGACCTCTGACGAATTTATGAATTTTTTCTTTATTTATTGAATGTAGATTTTGAAATTCGTGCACTGCAGAAAACTTTACGACATTTAAACCATTTGGTAGAACCCCATCTATAATTAAATAAATTAAATAAATAAATCATTAAACTTGATATTTCAAAACTTTTTTTTTTTTTTTACAGAAAAGGCCCGTACCTGGTTTTCGTTTTAATAAATGTTCAGCTTCGTAAGAAGTAATTTGACTGACAGTCGTAAATACGTCAGCACAATGAGTTGCAGCACGTTCAATGCAATAACGATGATAAATTCCACGCTTTCCAGCCTCTTTATCCACCGAGAAATTTTGTATATTATTATAGAAATCAACTTCACCAGCACATAAATATCTACCCAATAATGTTGCATGCGTTGTGAATACTGTTGCCAAGTCTGTTCTACGTTTACGCATCAATGGAATGGCAATACCAGATAACCATTCATGAAAATGTGCAATAACTGATTTGCTTCTTTCGCGGGCGACAAACTAAAAATAATAATTGATTTTGATTGTTGGAAAAACATTCATTGCAATAAATATAATTAATGGGATCAGATTAATCAAATAAATCAATATTACATCGCCTAAGAACCAAGCTACCAAATAACCAAATAATACGGCATCATTTGTTTCTTGATCATTTGGTGGCGAAGGAATCCCGGTAGCATTCCATAAATCAGCTTTCCATTCATCAAGTTTAGCAGATATTGAATTTATATCAAATAATAATACATGAGGATTGCCCTCAATCAACCATCTACCATAGGTCCATCTTATTCCTTGTTTTGACATCTCGGCAAGAGTTTCTTTAAAGTGAGGATTGGTAACTTCTTCTATTTCGACTTCTGCTGCAACTGCTTTATCCAATAATGGACCAATAAGTGTGTACCTGTCGCCATATTCGTGAACTGTCACCGGAGCTTTGGATTTTATCACTGTATATATCCCTCCAACTGAATTGATGGTTTTTAATGGTAAAAAAATAGATATTTATAAATATTATATATCAATTTTCAGAATTTTCATAAAATTACAAACCTTTGTTTACGACTTCCCAAGCTATTTCAAATAAAATTGGACTGCGGATGTCACGATACGCCACCATCTTTATTATTATTACTATTGTTGTTGCTATTGAAGTTTCAAAAATACAAATTTTTCAGAAATGAAAAAAATGGAGAAATTAGTTATTTAATAAAAAATTATTTATAATAATAATGATAATTGATAATAATCGCGTGTTATTGTCCATTCATATATTGGAAGATCGAAAAAAAAATATAAAATATTCTGATGTACACATGTTTTTTTTTGAAAAAACATAAATTTCTACAATTCTCAATCGCCTCAATTAAAAACTTTTAAAAAATAGTTTATAGATTATCTTCTACAGATCTTGCTTAATTATGGAGTTCATATAGAAACATTTATAATGAAACTATGAAAGAAAATTTTAAATCACATACATGCAATTAACTAATTCCATTAATTCATTCACCCCACCATTAATTAATTAACACAAAAAACGTGTTTTCAAAAAAA